GGGTCTCGAACCCACGGGCTCAGGCAATCCACTCACTTCAGCCTCCCAAAGGCACGGGATTACAGGCTGAGCCACCGAGCCCGGCTTTTTTTTTCCCTTTAATATCCAGGAACTGGCCGGACGTGGTAGCTCGTGCCTGTAATCCCAGCACTTTGGGAGGCCAAGGCGAGAGAATCATTTGAGCCTAGGAATTCAAAACCAGCCTGAACAACCTAATGAGACCTCATCTCTACCAAAAAATAAATAAATAAAAAACTTAGCTGGGCATGGAGGTGAATGCCTCCGGTCCCAACTATTTGAGAGGCTGCGGTGGAAGGATCGCCTGAGCCCAGGAGGTCTAGGCTGTGGTAGACCATAATGGAACCACTGCACTTCAGCCTGAGTGACAGAGTGAGACTCCAGCTCAAAACTCCAGGAACTGATTGGTCTAGGAAAAGCGAGGCAGTCCAACCTAATGTTTGCTCCAAGGGAAGCCTACCATGCAGCAGAGTGAGTCCCAGCCACACTGGTCAGAGAGCAGGCATGTCCCTCCTTTGAAGACCCTCACCTTCCCAGGGGGTTCAGAGTTGCAGCAAACTGTTTTGGAGGTGTCCAGGCAGTGGTGGGATAATGCACTGTCCCCCATTTCTCTGGATCCAGAAAGGCAGAAACTTGAGTGATGTACAGTAAGGAAGTCACCCAGGGCAGCCAGGGACAGGCCCAGGAGCCCGTGGGATTGGAGAAGCCCAGGTGAGTTCGTGGAAAGCATCCATCTCCCTGGGCCTCAGCATCCCCATCTGCGAGAGGCCAGGAGTGAGCCAGCGGGCCAGTGACCTTCCCCATTCTCTGAGTGTGTGTGCACAAGGCCCCGGGGACCGTCTCAGGGTCACTCCACTCCGCCCTCTCAACACACTTCTGGGTTTCTTCCTCCTCCAAGGGCACACGGGGCAGAGACCTCGCTTGAGCCCCATGCCCGAGAACAGCCCGGACCCCGAGTGTAGACAGGTGCCCGGCAGAAGGTTCCATGGTGGGTCTGAGCACAAGGAGAGTCTCAGAGGGAAGCCAGTCCTGTCACAGCCATCTGACGCTTGTCCTGACATCTGCCCCAAGAAGGTGCACCGTGACAGCTCCGAGTTCAAACCACATGCCAAAGGCCGAGGGAGGCTAGAAAAGGAACACTCTCAGCCCCACCCAGGGCCCCTGGAGCTCTCACCAGCTCGGTGCACCCCTCTTCTGGCTTCCTCGTACCTGGTGGCTGGCATGTGCCTCACTCCCAGACCTCAGACCTTTCCAGAGAGGTCAGTTGACAAGTCCCGGGCAGCTCTGAACACTAGAAACAAGCCTTAGACATTTCCCAGAGCTTGGGCCAGACACCAGAAGTTTCTGTGGCCTGCAACTCAGATAGGTCCCCGGGCTCCCTAATCCCCCTCACTTCTGCTAATCCAATCCCCGAATGGATTGCCAGCCAGCCAGTGAACCATACGTATGTTGCCTTCTACATGATATGGTGCACACACTGGTTAAATCAGGAACCCATTAGGTCCCACCCACCCACACACACACGTGCATGTGCACACACACACATGCACACACAATCCTCTTCCTCGCCCTTAGCTGCTGGAGCCTGGAGGCATATTCAATGCTGTCACATGGACAATGCCATGAGGCCCGTGTTTTACCCCAGACCCAGAAAGACGACACTTCTCCTACCCAAGGTAGTTGTAAATGCCGCCCTTATTGCAGAGGGTCCCACTCAAGAACACTAAGCAGGGTAAGGAACCCAGCATCGGGACCCCAGAAACAGGCTGAGAGGCCGGGATGCCTGTCATCCTAGTACTTTGGGAGGCAGAGGCAAGAGAATTGCCTGAGCCCAGGGGTTTGAGAGCAGCCTGGGCAACTTGGCGAGACCTCGTCTCTTAGAGTGAATCAAAATATTGGCCAGGCATGGTGGCGCACACCTGTGGTTCCAGCTACTTGGAGGGCTGAGGCGGAAGGATCGCCTGAGCCTAGCAGGTCAAGGCTGGGATGGCCATGAGCGTGCCACTGCACTCCAGCCTGGGTGACAGAATAAGACTCTGACTCAAAAAAATAAAAATAAAAAATATTTTTAAAACAGGCCGAGCACTCAGGTTTAGGGAGGAGAGGCCAGGCAATGAGAGAGCAAGAGGGGGAGAGGACAGCCAGCGGGAGAGACCCCCCGCGAGAGTGAGTACAGCCCATGCGGCCCGGCCACCAGGCCGGCAGTCAGGCCTGCCACTGAGCACTCTGGACACAGCAGCTCTGTGTCCATCATGCGAAGTGTTCAGTGTCATCACACAGACAGCGCCACGGGGCCTGTGTTCACTACTCACATCACCTACCAGGTGCCTCTCCACATAAACTGACGAAAGAGCTCATTTTCAGAGATTTTACTTTGAGCCTCTGCAGATACAAAGATAAGAAGATAACTATGTTAAAAGAAACTAAATCCAAAGTGAATCCAAAATCGACCAAATTATAGCAGTTGCCTTTTTCGTCCATCAGGTAAGAGTTGTAA